GTTTCTAATACTGTAGATTGACTTGAGGAAAAAAATTTCATGCTACACATTCTGAATAAGTAAAACATTGTCTTAAGTGCATTTTCTCATTCCAAAAGAGAAAATATTTCATATGGGTTTTTCCCCCCATTGTGCCACAAAATTTCCCAAATTATGTACCAGGAAAAATGGTAAAGACCTCAGAAAAACAATTTTAAATTATATTTTTTTCAACCTTTTTCTATATCTTTTTTCTCGGGGAATCCTCTTAAAATGTGTAATTCTTGCACTGTGATAAATAAAACTTCAAAGCAGTTACCTGTGACTTGGTCATGCCCTATTTTAAAGTGAGGTTCCCCTTCAGCTAAGCTTGCCAGCTAAGCTCCAGGTGGTGGCTGTAGACCTCCCAGAATTACAAGTGGTTTCCAGGTGACAAAGATCAGTTCCCCTGGAACCCTTTGGAAGCTAGTTTCTATGGCATTATATCCCACTGAAGTCCCTCCCCTGCCCAAACCCCACCCTCCTCAGGCTCCACCCCCAACACCTCCATGTTTTCCCAACCCAGAGCAGACAACCCTATTTTCAGCCCTACTCACATGATCCAAAGACACTTTTTAAAAAAAAAAATCTGTATGACTCATTTCTGGGGGCAGGGAGAAGCTCATATAAGGGTCTATCCTAAGAGCCCAACTACACCTGGCATTGGGCCTCTCTGATCTGATCCTCTAATTTACATGCCAAAAAGCTGTCATGCGAATAGGGAAATATGAATCAAAGCCATGGTGCTGGAGAAAGGGAGCCATATTTTGTTCTTCCCAAGCCATTCCCCTGATAGAAAACGGCACTCTCGGATTCGCTTTTGGCTCTGATGGAGGGAAAATACAAGGTACGTGTACTGTGAAAAAGGGAGGCCTTCGCATTGGGCCTCTCTGATCTGATCCTCTAATTTACATGCAAAAAGCTGTAATGCGAATAGGGTAATATGAATCAAAGCCATGGTGCTGGAGAAAGGGAGCCATATTTTGTTCTTCCCAAGCCATTCCCCTGATCGAAAACGGCACTCTCGGATTTGCTTTTGGCTCCGATAGAGGGAAAATACAAGGTACGTGTACTGTGGAAAAGGGAGGCCTTTTAAAATGGGAAACAGAGTGAGGGAAAGCATCGATCCCTTCCCCAAAGCCATGGTCCCAATCCCTATTCAGGGGTGCCAGTCTCCAGGTGGGGCCTGGGGATCTCCCAGAATTACAGCTCCTCTCCAGACTACAGACATCATTTCCCTGGGGGGGGGGGAATGGATGTTTTGGAAGGTAGTTGGAGGAGACTGGTAATTGTGGTTTTGTGTACTTCACTGCTGGAGACTCATTAATCTCTAATTCAGAACTCTGGGCTGTTGCGGGCTGATTCCTCCATCCCACCCTCCGGCCCACATTGAATGCATTTTCACTCACAGCATTTTTGTTGATTGGCAATGTGTTGACTTAAAAATCAATCGGAAGTACCACTGTCAGCACATCAGCTTCCTTGCTGCGTGGCACCATAAAGCAAACTGAGAATTCAAAATAAGTGCACGTGCAAGTAAAATCTGGGCATTTTCTAGGAAGGTGTTTTGCACAATGCCCAGAACAAACAAAGTGGTAGCAGGGCAAACACAGTACCGCTGAGAAATTACATTTTTCATTTTAAAATATTCCCTTTATAAGAACTTGCTATGTATTAGAAAAGGAAGATAACAAGTATGCTTGTAACATGTGAAAAAAAGAAATCATTATAATTTGTGATCGTGTTGTGCAAGGGTTTAAAATCTATTTTAGTGTAAAATAATCTACAAACCCCTTCTTGGCCCTAAAATCCACCACAGTCAAGAAACCCCTACCTGAAAGGGTGTGTACTTGTTTAAACAGCAACATTAGAACACAAAAACCAGATTGCACTTGGGGTGGCAGCCTGTGATTTTGTTCCGCTAGCAGCGGAACTGTCCTTTGGCACAGGCATCCTTCCGCTAATGGAAAGCTCACGGAGACAGAGAAAAGCTCCAGAACAGAGTTGTAGGATCTGGCCCATTATAGCTAAGATTTCTGTATAGAATTCTCTAGCACTCAAGAAACCAGTTTCACCCAAAACCAGTCTTAGGAAACCAGCACAGCTCCCGGGCACTGCGTATTGATTACATCACAGCATGCATGCCAGCCTCCCTTTTGCAAACTAGGCATGTAGCAAGGAGGCAACCCCAACATCTTCTATAAGCCAAAACATTATACTAGGAATGCAAGGCCACAACAGAAAGAAGTCACAGAGAATTTACAGAACCATGGAAGAGGTGGGCAACAGTCTTTTCAAATATATATAAATATTAAGTAGATTAATATTTAATTAATCTATTTAATTAATTGGATGCGGAATGGTATATCGCACAGCCCAATCCTGTCAGATCTCGGAAACTGGGTGGGGCCATGGTACTTGGAAGGGAGAGAAAGACAGGTGGGTCTGAAGCAACAGAACAAAGTTTGAGTCCAGTGGCACCTTTAAGACCAACAAAGTTTAATTCTGGGTATCAGCTTTCATGCACATGAAAGCTTATACCCGGAATTAAACTTTGTTGGACTCAAAGGTGCCACTGGACTTAAACTTTGTTCTTTTGTAGAGGAAGGAACACATGGAATTCACTGCCACAAGAGGTGGTGGCAGCTACAAGCATGGATGGCTTCAAGAGGGAATTGGATAAACATATGGAGGAGAGGTCCATCTGTGGCTATTAGCCACAAGGTATAGATGGGAACTCTCAGTCTGAGGCAAGCAATGCACTGTATTGTTGATATTTGGGGGGAGGGCAACAGTGGGAGGGCTTCTAGTCTCCTGGCCCCACTGATGGACCTCCTGATGGCACATGGTATTTTTGGCCACCGTGTGACAGAGTGTTGGACTGGATGGGCCATTGGCCTGATCCAACATTGGCTTCTCTTATGTCCTTAAGGCAACAGCGAAACACCACTGCTTTTCACTCACCTAAAAAACCCAATGGCGCTGCCGTTAAGTCACTCCAACTTGATGGCACTTTACACACATTTCTAATTACTACTTGTCCTGCACACACAAAGCAAATCCTTACGTATAGAGCAAGGTTAGGAGCCTAAGAGAGCAATCGTAGGCAGGTCTACACACTCAAAAGCCTACTCGGGTCTATTCAGTGGGGCTTACTCCCAGGAAAGCGTTCTTAGGACTGCACTGTAAAATATTTTAAGCCAAACAAACTCCCGGTGGGAAAAAAATTAAGAAATCAACCCTGTGATTTTCCTCCACAGCACTGTTTAAGCCCATATAGAAGCCAGAGGTTCTGAATCTGTACACAACACTGAGTATGTTGTCCCCATGAATTCAACTGTTTGCAAATGTTGTCCTGCAGATGGGTGCTACAAACTGGGTTTGTGCTTACCCAGATCACTGTATTCTGAGCCAGACCCCAAATTCATCTAGCCAAGTGTTGCCCAAAAGCTGCCCTCCAAAGTTGATCCAAGTCTTGCTGCCCAACTGGAGATGCCAGGGACTGAACTTGAGGCCTTGCACATGGAAGGCATGTGGCTCTGCTGCTGTGTTCTGGCCACTCCCCCCGAGCTCTTCTGCCTTCTCTATGGCTGTTCTCAGGCTGATTCAGGACAAGCTTCCAGCCATGTGGTCCTTCTAACAGCATCTTTAGGAAAGCATGAAAGCAACAAACCTATCAAGGGGCTGGGGCCACTGGTCTGGCCAAGCAGCGAGAAAAATGCTGCCCGTCGGGATGGGATGCAAAACTGGAATAGAACAAAATTAAGAGTCCAGTGGCACCTTTAAGATCAACAAAGTTTTATTCAAGGTGTGAGCTTTCAGTGCACTTTCCAACTTACTGTGTGAACTGACAAAAAATTAAGTTGGAAAGTGGACTGAAAGTGGATTATTTTGTGTGTGTGACCGCAGCCATAGTTGTATATATAGAGAGAGTGGCTTGTTAAATTAGCCGCTCTCTCTATATATACAACTATGTTCTGTAACTCCATTTCATTGTCTGGCGAAGTGTGCATGTACACAAAAGCGCACACCTTGAATAAAACTTCGTTGGTCTTAAAGGTGCCACTGGACTCTAATTGTTCTATTGCTTCAGACCAACACGGCTACCCACTTTGATAAAACTGGAATATGTTATGCAAAACAGTTAAATGTTTGCAGAAGGGGTGTGAAAAGTGCTGTCAAGTTGCAGCTGATTTATGGCGACCCCAGCAAGGGGCTTTCAAGGCAAGTGAGAAGCAGAGGTGGTCTGCCATGGCCTTCCGCTGCAGAGTCCTCCTTGGTGGTCTCCATTCCAAGTACCGACCCTGCTTAGCTTCCGAGAGTGGACAAAATCAAGTCTGTACCAGGCCGCCTTTCCTCCACTTGCAGAATAAATAATGCAAAATAACAAAAGGTCCAACTCAGTTCAATGTGCATAATGTATAGTGGTCACAAAATTCAGCTTTTCTTGGGCACAGAATCTAGACGTCGAGTTCTACTTTCTTAAAGCACCAAATACACACCACCCTGAATGAAACCCCACCACACAGTATGACTGGATGACACACTGGCAACCGACTTTCCATTTGGTTGTGTGCCAATGCCATGGAAAGTTCATTTCATTCATTCAAGCATGCACTGAAATTTAAGAAGATGAGTTGGATTTATACCCCACCCTTCACTCGGAGTCTCAGAGTGGCTTAGAGTCCACTGCTCTTAACCAACACACCACACTGGCTCTCCACACCAAACTGGCTCATATTTGCTTTATGAACTAAGAAATGCACATTTTAAAAAATGTCTAACTCAAGAGCGCTCTGGAACACACCAAAACAAAATGTTCTGAGGCTAGAGCGTTACAGCTTATAATATTCTGCATCTATTTACATGTCTTCTCTTAAATGCATAACACCAACTATGGTGCTAACAAATACTACAGATTTAATAGTCTATATCACATATTAATTATTAGAATGGATTGCAAAAAAGACCTCTCACAATACCTTCCATCGCTCTCTTGAAGAAGACTTTACAGCTTCCGCAGGTAAGAACTCCGTAGTGACATCCTGAGGCTTCATCACCACAAATGAGGCATATCTTCTGAGGCAATGATTCAAAAGTATACTGCGGGCTCTGGCCGGCTTCTGCATCCGACCTAGACAAAGGCAGGAAGGAAATGGAAGTTTATAATATTCAGTGGAGCTATTAAAACAGAAGGTATTCTGTACAAAAGGGAGGGATCTAGGAAATGCAACAGTGCAAAAACAGAGAATGAAGCAACACCAAAAAAACAGCTAGACACAGCCTATCAGGGGAACCATCGTATGCGTCCTATGTTAATATGCAAGGTGACTGAGTAGACCATCTCTCCCATAATCAATCTGCCGATAAAGGCAGTTCTATTTCTCTTCAATACACAGCAATATATTAATTTTTGCAACTGTTGATCATTCATTACTGATCCCAGGTCACTAATGAACCCTTTCATGAGCCCTAGTGCCCTGACCTGGATAGCCCAGGCAAGCCCAATCTCGTCAGACCCTGGAAGCTAAGCAGGACCAACCCTGCCAAGTACTAGGAAGGGAGACCTCCAAGAAATATCAGGGCTGGGACGCAGAGGCAGGCTATCACAACCCACCTCTCTGAAATGTCCAAGCCTCACTAGGGGTCTCCAGAAGTCAACCGTGACTTCCAAGCATACACACACACACACAGAAAATACCGCCCCCCAAAAAAACCTGTCCTAGCAAAATAAGAGTTAAGTTGCAATATATGTATTAGTACAAGCGCATCTTTCAAATAGTTTCTTCTTTTAGTAACAGGAAATATCCCTCCAAAAACGCATGAAGTCTGTCTGATCCCTTGACAATGCCCCCAGGAATCCCGATCAGTAAAATGGGACTCAGTCTATCAGGATACCTTTAAATAATGAACTTTACAAAAATTCCCCCTCAAACTACATGATGTGCCTCATAACAATAAAATATACAAACTCTAGAAGCATGAGCCCCTGTTGACAGTTCACAAAAGCTTACTCTGTAAAGGAACACTAAGGATGGCAAAAAATAAATGTTGGCAAGGCTCGAATGAACATGGAAACATCCTTCAACGTGCCTAATAAAAACACACATCTGTGACACGCCTCAACCCAGACTAGAGGTAACAAGGGCAGACCTGCCCCTTTAAACGAACTTCTTCCCGAGTCACATGATATAATTGAGGGGCGGGGAAAGCGTATCTGATTTAAGGCTCCTGCTTGTAGCTTACCTGCTCATAGGCTTTTCCTCCACCTCACCTCTTACAGTACTAGAAGTGAACAAAAGGGGGGCAGATACAAGGAATAAGGCACAGGCAGGGGCCTCCTCTAACCCCTTTACTCTTCAACCCCCCCTCCCCAGACCAAGGGTTGTTGGGTGGACCCACATTTAAAGAAATGTTGGTGCACTGCGTAATTTGCTGCACTGCGTATTACCTTGAGCCATGGGACCCTCCATTATCTCACGAGAGAAGAACAGTGCTGTATCGTTCCCACCTCTCTGAGATCTGCTACAACACTTGTGAAGCCTCACTCATTTTGCAAAGGTGTGTATAAAAAGGAGGCTCAGTGACAGATGGCGCTTTCTCCGTCACACCAGCCATCTGCTCTTGTGCGGCAGTGCCATTCTAAGCACTTATTTATTTATTTATTTATAAATTCAATTTATAGCCCGCCCTCCCCGCAAGCGGGCTCAGGGTGGCTTACAATCAGGCATAAGCCAGCACATAAAACATATTTAAAACCATTTAAAATCATTCTACAATATTGCAGTATTAAGTGCTAAGTGGACTTCTAAGTCGACTTCTAAGTCCACTGAAGTCAAGGTGCTTCAGAATTGAGTGGCACTCTAGCTAAAATGGCACTATGGATCCCTGAATTAGGATTTTGGGGATTTTTCTCGTTTGTTTGTTTTCTGATGGGGTATTTTGGGAACCACTTTCCGTGTTCGATCCTTTTTTAAATAATGAATATTCATAAAAGCACAGCATGGGGGATTAGAAAGAAACACAAATAGAAAATTAAAAATAATTAAATTAAAAACAGAGGTATCTCGATATATTTGCTGTTTAGAAAGCATCATCTACTGATCCGCTGGAGGATAATCAGCAAAGCACAACGATCAGGATCATCAACCAGTCAAAATTAATTTTAGTTGATGATTCATTTGCATTTTGATGGATTACCCAATGTACATTTGCATACTACTGAGACTGCAACTGAGTTATTTATTTCAGGTACTGAAGCAAGTGCAAGGGAACCTGAACTTTAGTAAACAAAATCTGACACTTGTGAGAAAGAAAGGCTGTCTTTCCTATTTCCTTTTTCCTTCCGTGTTACAACAACATGCCAAGCCAAGCCCACATCAAGTGCACCCCAAATTCACAACCGTGGTCCCCAGCCCTCTTAACTAATGCTTAAACCACTGGATCTACTGATTAAACCACCTGAAATGCACAGCATGGATAAGTAAAATAGTTTCTATTTACCCTTAACTACAACCCCACAAACTTATTTCTAAAACAGAATTACCACTTCAATCCTTCTCAAGGTGTCCAAACCATGATCCCTTCTGCTTTTGGTTCTGCTAGCTGGTGAATCAGGTAGGACACATGGCAGGGGTAAACCTCACCTCTCAAAAGTCCACTCACACCCAAACACGTATTGTCCCCCTCCGAACATGGTAGGCTTGGATGGAAGCACAAGTCTCCCACCTCCTTCCTCTCATCTAAGTATCACTGTCTGAAGAAGTTCCAAGCCAGTTAAATGCTGACAGGTCATCTCCGCTGACTTCAATGGAATTCATCTGACGCACATTCCGAGGACTATCACTCAATCAGAACGGGGCTCTCAAGTATGAGAAAGACTCGTTTCGCAGAGAAGAGATCTCTTTTGATATCTTCTGGTCCGTTTACAGCTTGTGAGATGCTTCAGTCACAATATCCTCCAACGAGAAATGCCCGGACGGGTCCTACTACCTCTCCAACTATCACACAAGGGGTTTCTTGCCTGATCCGCCTCTTTCCCACGGCCCCCATCATCACCACCCACCCCCACCCCATGAAGCTTGTTGTCCATATGGATCCCCAATATCCAGTACAGCCTTTTCAGGGAACAAAGGTCGGTTTTCTAGGAGGAAGAGGAGGCAGGGAAAGATCTACTTATATCAACTGAAGGCTGGTAGGACCCAAGTCATGGTACCTGCTTGCTGAAAGACCAGTCATCGATATAGCCTTATCCTGACACCTTCATGATTTAATAATACCCATTTTATTGAAAGCATATTTACATTTACATTTTCACACTTTGCTAGATAATACTGTTCAAAATTACAGCACAGTTTGTGGAAGTCCATTCATAAGAATTTTGGTGTCTACAGAGTAGTCACTTAATGGCAAAGCCATTAATTTTGAACTTTTTCCCCTTAATTTTTCCGCTGAACTACTGACCTTCCACAGCCTGCAGTTCAGCGTCTTAACCACTTTGAACTTTTCCCCCTTAATTTTGTAGGATGCCAATCACCAGATCCTTGGAATGGTTGCTTACAGCTATTTGATAGTCTCAAGGCACAGGATCCTGGCGCTCCTCAGGTCCCAGAAGGTCGGACCAGAACCAATGGGTTGAAATTAAACCAGAAGCTAAACCAGCTAAACATTAGGAAGAACTTCCTGACAGTGAGCGCGGTTCCTCAGTGGAACAGGCTTCCTTGGGAGGTGGTGGGCTCTCCATCTCTGGAGGTTTTCAAACAGAGACTAGATAGCCATCTGACAGCAATGCTGATCTTGTGAACTTAGGCAGATCATGAGAGGGAGGGCAGGGATGTGGCCCTATCTTACACGCTCAGGGAAATGCTGATCGCCACTTTGAGGTCAGGAAGCAATTTTTCTGTAGGCCAGTTTGGCTGGAGATCCTGGAGGTTTTTTTGTCATCTTCTGGGCATGGAACAGCGGTTACTGAGGGTGTGGAGGGGGAGGTATTTGTGAATTTCCTGCCTTGTGCAGGGGGTTGGACTAGATGACCCTGGAGGTCTCTTCCAACTCTATGATTCTATGATTCCTCCCCACGCCCCATTCCATATAATATTTTATTGTACGTGTTAAATTGCTACCCCCTATTAATGCACAACGAACAATCAGCTGGAATTCTCCTTTGATCAGATCAGCAGCAGATTGTGGGGTGTGAACAGTCAGTCTGAATGCCAAAAAGTGTGAACATTTTATGGGCAGGCCCAGTGCGTTAAATTGCTACCCCCTATTAATGCACAACAATCAGCTGGAATTCTCCTTTGATCGGATCAGCAGCTTAAACAGAGAGGATTGTGGGGTGTGAACCGTCAGTCTGAATGCCAAAAAGTGTGAACATTTTATGGGCAGGTCCAGATTTACTACTACCAGATTGCTGACAAAGTGATCCAGATTTATTTATAATGCATACAAAGTTGTATGTCATTGCTTCACAGTTTTTATGAATGGTTTGTGTTTTAGGAGCTCTATCCATCATTGGCATGAATGAACTTTGCCCTTTTTGTGTGAAGAAATTGTATCTAAACAATCTTCACTTTTAAAATAGGGGTCCTTTTTTGGGGGGGGAGGACTTCTGGGAAACTACAAAACTCCACAGAAAAGGTGTTTTGTCTGTAACAAGACCCCTCCCCTGTTAATGATAAATTAGTCTGTGGAAATAAAAAGTGCCTTCATTGCACAACCCACTCTGAAATCATCACGTAAAAGACTGTAATGACCATTAGTTATAATTTATTAGGGAATGATCAGAACTATAACTTAGTTGTGGTCTGTGCTCCCAATCAAATATGTAATCATGAAAATAAGAGTCCAGTAGCACCTTAAAGACAAACAAAATGTGTAGTAGGGTCAGTCACCGCTCACTTCAGCTCACCAAAGCTCCTATCCTGCCACAAAATTTTTGTTAGTCTTTAAGGTGCTACTGGATTTTCTATTGCTACAGGTAGACTAACATGGCTACATATCTTGACCTACCTCTATGGAAATAAGCAAACTGTTTCACTACTCGGCAGTGACTGACATTTGATGCCGCCCACTTTGCCTCACTGTAGAAGTGAACAGCTGGATCGTCTGTGAGGAGAAACCTACATCAGCCAATGACAGTGCAATCCTAAAGACATTTCCCTGGCAATAAGGTCCACCAAGCAGCCTTCAATAGGATTCTAAGTAGACCTGCTTTGGACTGGGTTGTTAAAAGTACCCTTCAGGCCTTCCCCTATTGTAGGCATGCGTGCTTCGAAAACAAAGAGGCCATGGTAAAGGTTTCTGGCCAATCAATGGCATCAGAGGAAGACTGGTGTGCAACCCTAATTGAGCCTTTCCTCTGCAAGGGTGTAAAACCGCAAGCCATCAAAGCTGGATTAGTCATCTAAACTAGAGGCACCTCTCCTTTAAAGGACCTCAGGTAACAGAGCTGGGGAAATCGTCTGTCCCGGTCCCAGGAGCGACCATCACAGGACAGGGGTACGCAATCAGCACATGCACCGAACAGCACACCATTTTGCTGAGCCTGCAAGCAATCACAGCAAGCTGATCGCCACTTGCTGGTCATCAGCATGGGAAACGGAAGAAACAGCTTACGCCCATCACTGTCTCCAGACCCTCACAGCCGCTGGCAGTGCTGTTTGCCTAGGTTTGCCCCCCCCCCATGTGTTTGGCCAAGAACAACCCTTTCCTTTCCTGGCGCACCAATGACGTCACAAGTAGACGCGGTTTTATTCGGCACTCGGGCTGCCTACCCCCTTCGCAGACCACGCTTGTCTGAATGGACTAACGTTGATCAGAAATGGTAAGTTGTTTCGAGGCCAAAAAAAAAAGGAACTTATCAAAGACGGCCTCCCCTGCTATGAACCAAAGGTAGCGTGTTTTTAATCATAGCGAAGGCTGTGGTCACACACACGAAATAATCCACTTTCAATCCACTTTCAGTGCACTTTACAACTGGATTTTACCATGTGAACTGGCAAAATCCAGTTAGAAAGTGCACTAAAAGTTGATTTAGTGTTATATTTCACGTCCTTCAGGATCTCAAAAAGACATTCTGAGCCCTTAATCAAAAACAGATCTTCTCTCTTTCCACTAGTTATCACCAAAAGTCACCCATATCCAGACTACATCAATATAGGCTAGATCATTCTGGGTCGCCATTAGTGGGAAGCTACTGGAAGGCACTAAAAGCACACAATCATTCGCTTCCTGCATTTTCCTGTCCAAAAGGTGACTCCTACAGCACAATACCCCACCAAGTGTGGATGTCACTATAAGCGCTGGTTGGTGTTTTGTTTGTAAATCGATTCATGTCTGCAAAGGCAAGCAGTGAATCAGCGAAGATTTCTTTAAACAGCCCCTACTAACCAGATTTTAAAAGTAGGTTGACATGGGGGGGGGGGTCACCCCTCCTACCTTATATAGCTCAGATAAGGCGGGTAGAGCTGGGGGAAGCCGTCTTTGATGCCAGTGGGGGGCAGGGCCAGCTGCTGAGGGCCGTGAAGGGCCAGCGGCTGGTACAAGGCCGCAGGGGCCGTGCTGGAGGTAGAGGGCAGGCTGAGGCTGTCCCGGGGCACGATGCAGCTGGTGGAGGCTTTGCAAGGCGCTGGCCCGTAAGAGCCACCGGCGGCGGCGGCGGCGGCGACCTCCGCTTTGTAGAGGACGGACTCCAGCGAGGAGGAGGAGGAGGAGGCCTCGTGGTGGCCGCCGCCGCCTCCCGGGGTCTTGGGCAGAGGCGGCGCGTAGTCTGCGCAGGAGATGGCCACGGCCAGCGGCGAGCTCTTGCCGCCCAGATAGGCGCCGCCGTCGCCGTGCGGGGCCGGAGGGGGCCCGGCCACCGCCCCCCCCAGGCTCTCCTCCTTGATCTTGAGGCCCGGCTGGAAGTCGCCGGCGGCGAA